AGGAAGGCTACATAAGAATGCAAAGAGATGTTGATGCAAAGGAAGGCCTGTGTGGCATTGCAATGCAAGCTTCATATCCCACTGCATAGAAGATCAACCCTAAAACATTATGGCTATGTAGCTTATTGCTATGATTTCCACTCCAACTCTTGCTCATTCATATTTGCAGCAAGAACTTGTGAATTTGTGATTCTTATTTAACAGGATATATAATATATTTAAAACATATCGGTTGCAATTTAAAAGCTTTGATTTCACTAGAAGGACGCTATAACGCTCAAGCCCAGAAAATTCATGAATTGCAACCAAACATGCAAAGGTTGGATGAATGGGTTGTCAAATAAAGACCCCCCAAAACATTTACACAATCCTTCTAATTGAGGGCCAGAAATGATAAAGCTATATCAATAAGAAAAACAAAACCCTCTTTGATTGGGCAACAAAGGCCCTTAGATTAATCACCGAAATACAAGAACAATTATGTTTATCAATGGTTAAATCATTAAATATCCAGTTTGATTCCTCACCTTTCCAAGCCCGCAGAACTACTAAAGTCATCAAAACGATCTAATTTCGGTCATAGGCCAGAGGGGACACTGGCCCACCCAAAAAATATTTTTATTATTTATTACTTAGATGTATCATAAATGTTTTATTTATGAGTTAACTCATTGGTGGTGCCCACCCAAGATTCCGTGACACAACAATACTTAGTGGTGCTCACACCCATGATCCATGAGAATTCTTTTTATTTATTCATATTATTCACATACAACTTTTAGATCACCACACAAACCAACGACACTATGAGACAGAATATGGAAACAAGGAGGAAGAACAATTGAAGAAACAACAATGTCAAGATGGTAAGGGCGACTCTTCGGCAATTGCGACCCTATGGTGACTTTTTTAGAAGGATATTACTTGTGAAGGACTATAATCAGTCTCATTTTTTATTTTTTTTATGTAAAATGAGATAATTAATTTTTTTTTTTTTGTTTTTAATTACATCCAATACATATCGAATTTTGGCCATTTCTGTTTAGTAAAATTTTAGGAATTAAATATAATTTTTAAAATCTACTTTTGTATCCTTTACTCTAATCATTTGAAAGAAAAAATAAATAATTTTCAATTTAAGTGCCCACTCTCATATTTATTCCTGGCTCCGCCCGGCAGGCTGCATATGAGCCCTGAGATGCTGGGGAAAATTGGTGAAGGCCAAGACCTAGAAGGCAGAACTTACAACTTGCCTATTTACATAATTAAATGGGTAAATGATAGTTTACCTCCTTGTGGTTTGGTCTAGTTACGCATTGCCTCCTTTTGCTTTTAAAACCTACGCATAACCCCCTATACTTTAAGATTAAAGCAAAACCGTTAGATTTTCCGTCTAAATTGATGGAGAGTGTATCACACTAGTTTACATCTTGAACTCCTAATTAGCAGGGAAAAAAGAGTAATACTACACGGACCTATAGTGAAATCAAGGATTATAAGTCCACGTAACATTATTTAGAAAAAAAAAACCGTAAGCTACATTGTTAAGTTGTCATCGCTACACTATCATGTTATGAGCCTTCTCATTTCTAGAAGAAAATTGTAATACAGTGGTGGTAATTTTTTGATACATGCCTCCTCCAAATTGTAAGAGCTTCTTAATGACTTTGGCTTCTATGCTTGTAATCTTATGAATGCCATTTATCTTCTAGTTGTTAAACCAAACATAATTATGTATCACAATAACATTCCGTGTCATTAATCCAAGCCTACAATTCCTCAAAAAACTTCTTAAGTGTGACATTTTTGTCACATAATGATGATATCTGTATGTGTAACACGGCAAGATAGCTAGGATATTTTTTTATTCAGGGTAGTACAAATATGAAAAGGTCACAGAAGTTATTAACCAGAGTGACCATTCATTTTCGAATGTGACATACAACCTTTCACATGATTGAACAAAATTACATGGCGGAGGCATTTGAATCAAAACAGTAAAGACCAAATTCCCTACTAAACAACATAATTCAATTTAAGCTTTCACTGTACTTGTGAATATGGTTTATTATGAATGACAAGTATGGAGGTTAATCTAATCATATATATATCTGTCATAATACAAAATTATACATCAGAACGATTTCTCGGGCACGTAGTGAGCAACATATCAAAAACATAACCCAATATGAGTAGGCAAACTGACAGAATCCAGTTCTATATAAAGGTCCAGTGCAATGGTGTAGTTCATAGCCATATACTCTCATTCTAAATCTGAAATCTCAAGTGCCAGTAGCACCATGGCTTCCAAATTTCTTTACCAATGCACTTGTTTCGCTTTGGTCTTCATTATGGGGGCTTTGGCTTCTCAAGCAACATCTCGCTCTCTTCAAGAAACTTCAATGTATGAGAGACACGAGCAGTGGATGGCTAAATTTGGACGTGTCTACAAAGATAGTGATGAGAGAGACAATCGCTTCAAAATATTCAAGGAAAATGTAGAAACANGGACGTGTCTACAAAGATAGTGATGAGAGAGACAATCGCTTCAAAATATTCAAGGAAAATGTAGAAACAATAGAATCATTTAACAAAGCTGCGAATAAGCCTTACAAGCTTGGTGTCAACCAATTTGCAGACCTTACAAAGGAAGAGTTCAAAGCACGGAACAAACTCAAAAGGCGTGTTTGCTCTACGGAGGCAATTTCCTTCATGTACGAAAATGTGACTGCGTTACCAGCTACAATGGACTGGAGAAAAAAAGGAGCTGTAACACCTATCAAGGACCAAGGCCAATGTGGTAAGTGACAATCTTTTAGGAAATGAAAATTTTTATCCTGGTATTTTCTGACTCTTATACAATATGAAAATATAGGATCTTGTTGGGCATTTTCGGCTGTGGCGGCTACAGAAGGAATTACTAAACTTAAAACAGGTAAGCTAATATCTTTGTCTGAGCAAGAGTTGGTCGACTGTGACACTAGTGAAGATCAAGGCTGTGAGGGTGGTCTCATGGACGATGCTTTCACATTCATCCAAAAAAATCATGGCCTTACTACCGAAGCTAATTATCCCTACGAGGGAACTGATGGAACTTGCAGCACCACCAAAGAAGCAAACCATGCAGCCAAGATAACCGGGTACCAAGATGTACCTGTCAATAGTGAGGGTGCACTGTTGAAAGCTGTTGCAAATCAACCAGTCTCGGTTGCCATTGATGCTGGAGAATCAGATTTTCAGTTCTACTCGAGTGGTGTCTTTACGGGGGAGTGTGGCACTGAGCTAGACCATGGTGTTGCTGCTGTTGGTTATGGCACTGGTGAAGATGGAACTAAATATTGGCTAGTGAAGAACTCGTGGGGCACAAGTTGGGGTGAAGAAGGATACATAAGAATGCAAAGAGATGTCAAAGCTGTGGAAGGCCTATGTGGTATTGCAATGCAAGCTTCGTATCCAACTGCATAGAGATTCAAAGTTCAAATCCTAAAACATGATTGCCCCTGTAAATAATTCCATAGCTTATTGCTATGGTTTGCGGTCCAACTCTTTCTTGTTCATATTTGTGGCAAGAACTTGTGTGTTTTTCGGTTTGAATCAGTTGGTAATATACACTATAATGAAAAGATATCAGTTGCATTTTAAAAACACTGATTTCGATAGAAGGCATTCAAAAAATTCTTCTTCGGAAGGTCAAGTCAAGAAATTTATTGAGTTTTAACCAAAGATTGGGCCAATTGATCTACTAAATAATCACTCCAAAACAGTGACAACCCTTATTACTGACCGCAAGAAAAAACAATGCTCAATTCAAAATGAGAATTATTAATTGGTCACCAAAGACCCTTAGATTGGTCAAGTGGAAAGGCTCTCATTATCAATGATTTAGATTTCTTCAATGTGTGACACAAACATTCATTTTCCTAAACGAAAGAAAAGTTTTAAGTAATAATAAATGCAATTACATATACAAAACTAGCATTACCCCCAATGTGATGCAAGGAATACCCGTTCCACCATATCCAATTGGAATATTAAGAAAAACTATTCCTCAAATCCTTCTCACCTCATTTAATTTTTGTATTATGAAACAGTTTCTATTAATGTGTTCATTTTATTGTTAAAATATTTCAAATAAGTAATTGCATTGATAACAATGGTGGGAGTGGTTATACGAATAAGTTAGAGGAATTTAAGTTGATGAAATTATTTTTGACAAGTAAATTAATCAATATTCATGATATCACACATGTTGTGAAAGGGGTGGCAATGAAGTCGTGTTCGTATTGTGTCATTTCAGATTCGTATTGACTATTAGTCAATTATAATTTAACTCATTTAATTAATCGTGACAGATGTCCTAACACTAATTCGACCTCTTCATTATCATATTATATTTAGATTGACCCGTATAACCAATGAATAAAAAATTCAAGACTAAAACTCCCTTATTTTTCCACCAAACTTACTACTTACAGTTTTTTCATCAACTAAAGATCCACTCATTCCATAAAATAACAAACGCAAGAAAAAATCCTCAGTCTATTAATTTTCATGTTCTCTAATAAAAAATAACAAAAATCAAGCATTTTATACTTACAATATTAGTTAAACGTCTTTACTGCATTCAATTCGGTATATTCATGTTTAATATTAACCCGACCCATTTATTATGCATATTATTATATCGTGTCATTTTTGGGTTTGTATCAAGAAACAATTATCACTAACCTGCTAGCTTCGGATTTCTAACATTTCAAAAATTATCACCTCGAAATGTATATGTTTAGGGAATTCATAAGCCTGATTCCACAAAGGCGACAGTAAGAGCTGGTGCTGGTTGGAGAAGGTTTTTTTCCTTCAAATCCTAAAAGGTTGGTGGGGACAAACACTCGTGGCAATCCTACCTAAATGCAATCATTGTAGCTCTTATCGGATGCCACCAGACCACCTAGTAGGAGTTGGAAGAGCTTAATTTCCTCCCTTACTAGCCAGAGCTGGGTCAATTTTGGAAACTTCGCCAGCAAAATAATAGTTGGACTAATGCTATTGTAGTTTCACATCCAAGATAGGATGGCGTATTTTTTATTTTCTCAATTAGGAGGAGGAAGGCAAGTGGAAATATGAGAGAGAAGAGACAAGTAGGAATCAAAAAATGGATTCGAGCCGAATTTGAAAAGATAGATCGATGAAATGGTTCAAACGATCAAGATCATACCTTTTCCACTTAAGAAAGCAAAACCGATAAAAGTGAAATTGAAAAGTGTGACTGCAACCTATATAATCCAGGTTGGAGAGTTTGAATGAAACTGAAAGAAAACAAGAAGATCAAGATCAAAAAAGAGAGGCATACCCGGGCTCTTGGAGGAGTTCTTGAAATGTGTTGGACTCTGATGATAAAATGTGTTTAAATATCAGCCACTCGACGACTCTTTGGAGGTTACATTCGCACAAGCCACGTCGTCATTTCCCGAGGCACTAACGGACAAAAGCATTAAATGCAGACAACGTGTAGGTCACATTGAATTTAATTGGGGGCATCTGATAATGGGAAAATAGGCATGTGATCAGAATGTCGAGCTCCACATAGGACTTTCGTCCAGCTCTCCACTTTAAGCAGCTCGCCAACCCTCACACTCAACATGGTCGATCTCCATAACTACTTTGACTTGTTCAATCCAGATAAGACCTCTACTTTACTAGCAAGTCAGGTTCAAACGTATAAAGTGAAACTATCCTATTCAAAATAAAAGGATATGGGACTCCCAACGGCACTAGGATGGCGAACTATAAAAGGGGAAAGAAGGAGATCAACTAAGGTACGATAACATAACCTCATTGCACCTTTTTCCTTTCCTCAATCATTCTCTAGACTTAAGCATTAGAGGGTCAATCCCCGGAGCACATCCGATCTTCAACTTAATCTTATAGGTACTCTTACCAATTTCTTATAAAGGGATCACACTCAGGAAGCTTGAAGTATCATTCCTGATATCAACAGTTGGCGCCATCTGTTGAAAACATTGAAGTTTTTCATGATTTGAAAACCTATTTTTGAGTCTCCAAATCTAATAGAAATCACAAGATCAAAGGACCCGATTAGGGACCAAACCCAAAATAATGAGCGATGTAGACCGCACTGAGTGGACCAGCGAAACCCAAGGCCACTGGAAAAAGAATCAGCTAGGGTGAAAAAATTAGAAAAGATAGTAGAGGAGCTAGTTCAACAAAACCAATAGATTCTATACCTCTTCACTAATCAGCAACACTAGAGAAAGAATAATTACATGCTAAGGAGAATCGAGATGATAATCAAGAGAATGAGGAGCAAAGCGAAAACAAAGTCATCCAACCACATGTTGATAACCAATGGGAACGAAAGTTGCTGGAGGTCAACGACAAGCCTGACAATGTCCTAAATACCGTAAAAACCTGGGATCCTGAAGCTGTGAAAGCCCTTGTGAAGCACACAGAGTCGCCCTTCACTATGATGTATCAAATTACCCTCTCCCATAGAGGTTCAAGATGCCAGCCATTGAAAGCTTTGATGGACTAAAAGACACGCTTGACCACCTAGAAACCTACAAGTCCATGATGATGCTACACAGTATCCCAAATCAAATCATGTGTAGGGCCTTCGCAACTATCCTCAAAGGAACATCAAAGAACTGGTTCCATAAGTTCAAACCTAGCTCCATCGACTCCTTTGAGGAGCTTAGCACATCCTTCATCTAGCATTTCATTGGAGGGCGAACTCACAGAAGGCCCCCACTTACCTTTTACACCAAAAGCAAACCAAAAATGAAACTCTTAGAAGCTTTTTCAATAAATTGACCACAGAGTTGCTCCAAATCGACAATGTAGATGACAAAGCAGCTCTCACTACTTTCATGGGAGGCCTTCAACCCTCTAAATTCCTTTACTCCCTATCCAAAGACATACCCCAGATCATGACTGAGCAACTATCAAGAACACAAATCCATATCAACGTTGAGGACACGCTCCTTGCCAAGAGAAGCTAGGAGGACAGGCGCAAGGAGAGGAAGAGGCAAGATCAACAAACAAGAGTGGTAGCACAAACAGCCCAAAGAAAAATTGAACTGAACGTGTAAGTGTAAGAGATCACTTGGGTCCCAAAGCTCTAAGGGAACAAGCTCAAAGTTACACATCCTTGAACACCCCAATTGAGTAGATACTGTACCAGATCTCATCTAGGAAGGCCATCTCAAATGATACATAGAGCGTAAATGCCAGGAGAAAACGAAGGCACAACCCAACCAGGACGAGGCACCACACCAGCAGCCCATTGGGTAAGTGAGAGTAATCTCTAGAGCGTTCGCTGAGGGTGGAGAGAGTAGCTTTGCTAGGCAAGCTCATGCTTAAAAAGTCAAGGCTGAGCACTAAGCTAGCTTGTTAAACCCAAGAAGGAAGCCTCTCGTAAGTTAGCCAATTAAATTTTTGGATAATGACCTTGGAGAAATCTAATATCCACATGATAACCTCTAGTAATGGCCCTAACTATTGCCAATTATATAGTGTGGAGGGTCTTGGTAGACAATAGAAGCTTGACAAACATCACATTTACCCATGCCCTTGACAAGCTAACCATAGGCGGGGATAAATTATTGTCTATTACTGCTCTATTAATTGGACTTTGAGGGGAAATAGCCAATTCACTAGGTGCTATTGTTATCCCAATTACAGTTGGACAAGCCCCACAACAAATAAATGTCATGACGAACTTTCTTGTAGTAGACTACCAATCAGCCTACAATGTCATTTTTTGGAGCCCAAGGCTCAATTTTATAAGGGTAGTACCATCAACATATCACCTCATACTGCTTTTCTCAACAAAGGCAGGAGTGGAAGAAGTCTTTGGCAACCAAGTAGCAGCATAAATGTGGCCTCAATGCAAGAGAAGTAGCAACAAGAAACCTTGCAAATAGAATCTTTGGACTATATGTATGAAGCTAAACATCCCCGACCAATCAAAGATCTTGAGCCATTTATCGAGAAAATGATCGAGGAGACTTAGAAGTTGTTGCTTATAGAATTCCTGCGTTCTAACAAGGATATTTTCGCTTGGAACCGGTCAAATGTGATGGGAATTAGCCCATCGGCTATAGTACACAAATTGAGCATTAATCCAGCCTCCAAGCCAGTCTAATCTAGTAAGCACACCAACCATCCAAGAGGAGCCTTTGATATTCTCAGAAAATAAAACATGAAGCTTAACCCTACAAAATGTGTTTTTGGAGTCTCTTCAAAAAAGTTTATGGGCATCATAGTGACCCAAAGAGGCATAGAAGCCAACCTTTAAAAGATCTAAACACGAGGTCTCCTCAGAGCACCAAGGACGTTGAAATGGTCACAGGCAGCATTAGCAGCTTTAAACAATTTCATATCCTATAGCAAGCGATAAGTGCCTTCCTTTCTTCAAAGTACTAAGGAAGGCATTTGAGTACAGT